ACCCTATTACTTTATATGCTTACTAAAAATAAATAAATAAATAAATAAATAAGCTAAAAGTGGCAGCAGAGGCCACTGCCTACTTGCCGCCATCTCCAGGTTTATCAAATGAGGTGAGTCAGATGCTCCACAGGAGAACACCCTGGTCAGCCACTGGGGAAAAGACCTTCACACACATTTTGGTGACCAGAGATGCTAGGTCTGTTGATCATGAAGAACAGGAGAAAATCAGGTGACTTCTGTTTTGTTTGCCCTTTTCCCTGACCACAAGCACCAAGTGGAGCTGGGGCTCTGGAAGCCTGGGTCCCAGATAAAAGGATGCAGCTCTGGAGCCCCACAGTCCACGAAAGCACGCTCTCAAAACAAGCCTTTGCTGAGTTTTGCCTCTAGAGTTCGGGGCTCTGATACTGCTGCCTGGCCCCCCCCCAGAGTTAACTCTGCTGACAACCAAACCCCAGGTGTTAAGGTTCTGTCTATAAAACACACCTACTGTCACCAGGGTCCTAAATAAAAGAATAAACTGTCTCCAGGAAACCCCATGTTGTGGTAAGCATAAAATAGAAACCCCAGTGCCAGAGAGGAAAATCCTCTCTCAGGAAAAAGCTAATCTTCCAGCTCCCAGGACTTATCTCACAGCTGAGTCTGTACTAAGCTTCCTGCCTCTACTTTATCTTTTCTGTGCATTGTAAGACTGTTACAGGCACCGTGGGGAGAAACAGTTTTTCTTTTGACCTAAACTGCAAATAAACTGACTTCCGTTGACTTGTTTCTGTCTCCCATTAAAATACTGTTATTGATTCAAGAATTTCATACAATGTATTTTAATCATATTCAGACCCCCCATTCCTGCCTTACTATCTGCCACCACCCCCAAAAGTTCCCATCCTCTATTTTTTTTTCTCTTCTTAAGGACTATCAACTGTGTTTCCCCAGTGATTCTGGGTACAGGTCTATCCCTTGGAGTCTGGTCAACCTACCAGGTATCACACCTCCTCCCTCTCCCAGCATCTATTGATTGCCAGTGGATCCTCAGCTAGGGCTGGGGATTCCTGCCCACCTCCCCCATCTGTGTTGGGCCCCTGTCTGGTTTGCATAGGTCTTGTGCATGCTGTCATAAGCACTGTGGGTCTCACTTCTTTTTTGGTAAAGTGGGGTCCCGTGGACCTAAGTCCATGGCTACCTACCTTGGAATTTCCTCAGCATCTCCCTCATCCTAGGGATGCGGCACACAGTCTTCAGTTCCACGGGGATGGCCTCTAGCTCCAGCCTCATAACAGCCTGGCTTCTGGAAGCAAGCAGAGCCCCAAGGTGTCAGGGTGATTGGCATGGCCTCCGTCCCCTACCCCTCCCTGTTTCACTGACTCAGAAAGGAAGCATACCTAGTCAAGGCTCCTCTGACCCCCTGGAAAGGAAGCACACAGGTGAATCAGACCTCTGAACTGCTTTCTGAATTCCAGCCTGTAAAGATGTCCTAGAAATTACTGGAAATTGCTAACAACTAAAGTAAAACTGAAGGGGACAGTGAATTTCTGCTCTTTACAGTAAAAAACAAGCGTTAAACTCTGATGAGTCTCATCAATTAAGTCAGTCACAGAGTAGAGTCACACTGCACAAAGTTTAAGTACATTTCCCTGAAATATCAACTTAACTACTTTCTGAATTGACAATTCTAGCAATTGGCTATTTTAATAGGGTAGCATTCAGTATCTGATTTGGACAGATTATAAACCTTAAATATTTGAAGAACTTATCTGAGGTTAGTATACACAAAAAAATGCTACCTTCAATATCTTTGTAAGATAATCCAAAATTTCTAATTCTTTTTATCACTGTACCAAAGCTATTTATTTGACTTATGTAGATAAAGGTCGGTATTGACATCTAGTGGGATTTTATCCTTTAAGAGATACTAATAATAAAAAGGTGAGAAAAGATACCAAATAGATCACATGTAATATATTTCTCTTCTGGAGATAGCACTCAGATAGTGTTTTTATATTTATTTAGTTAGTTAGTTTAGTGTGTCTGTGTATGTGTATATGTGTATCTATCTATCTATCATCTATCTATCTATGGTGTGTATGTGCATATGTGTCCGAGTTTGCTTTCTATTGTTGTGATAAAACACTCTGAGTAAAAACAACTTGGGGAGGAAAGAGATTTTGCATCTTACACTCCCAAGTGACAGTACATCATTGAGGGAAGTCAGGGCAGGAACTTGAAGCAGGAACCTGGAGGCAGGAGCTGAAGCAGAGACCCTGGAGGAACTCTGCTCACTGGCTTGCTTTCCCTGGCTTGCTCAGTTTCATTTCTTTTAAAGCCCAGGCCCACCTGCCCAGGGAAGGTACCACCCATGGTGGGCTGGTCCCTCCCACATCAAACAACAATCAAGAAAATGCCCCACAGACAGGCCCACAGGCCAATCTGATGGAGGAAGTTCAACTGAGAGTTGAGGTTCCCTCCTCCCAAGTGTCTCTTGACTTGTCAAGTTGACAAAAATCAACTAGCAAAGTGTGTATGTGCACCTTTGACCATGTGGGTTTGGGACTCAGATGCCTTCGGAGCCAGTGCTAGGATGCTCTTTTCCTGGGAGTGAGGGCCCCTCCATGTTCCTGAGTGAATGTTTCTGTTCTTCTTTGTCCCTTAACCTCACACCTGCCTGTACCCCCAGGTCACTCCTCACCTCCAGCAGCCCCAGGGCTGGCTGCTGGCTCCTCTCCTCCAGCTCCTTGGCCAGCTCTTTCAGGGCCTTGTTCTGATGCACCAGATGGTTCTTGTGGTCCCTCAGTCTCTGCAGGGTGGCTCGCTCCTCCTCCTCCAGCCGCCTCAGCTGTAGCTGCTCCTCATGGGCCAGAAATCCACGATGCTTCTCAAACTCCAGCCTGAAGCTCTGTCTCTGCATTTCCACCTTCTCCTGCAAGGACGCAGTGACTGACTCATGGATGATGGGGGGAGGTGTTGGGGCTTCCTGCCTTCATGTATGGGGGTAGAGCTGGGCAAAGCATGCCCAGAGTGCCGTTCTGCAGTCCACATTGTGAACTGACTGACTGGTGGATGTGTTCTAAGAACATGAAGAAGCCAGAGGCCAGTTGTATGAGAGGATCTGAACTCAGGTCCTTGTGGTCGTGCGGCAAATACTTTACCCACTGAGCCATCTCCACAGCCCCAAATGTCCTTTATTGTGTGGTAATCATGGTTAGCATTCTCTACAGAGCCAAGAAAGAGCTAAGTGTTTCTTGGGTCACTGGTTTGAGCATCAACTTCAGATTGTTGTCCTAGTTTCCACCCAGAAATCTCACATCTGTACCTTCTGAAGGGACCTAGGGAGCAGACCTTGCTTCAGAGTTACTATCTCAATTTCATTGTCCTGAAATTAGTGTGTAGGAGATTATCTTTAAACTGAAACTATCTTTAAATGATTTCCCCCAAACATCTACACTGAATTTTCTGCTCTATTTTTAAAGTTTATAGTTCCTCGTTTCACTGAAAGGCATTGTTTATCACTTTTTAATAGCTCTACCCAAACCTTTAAGACAACACCTTCTTCTAATTTCCATCCTATCTCCTTCCACGATTCTCTAGATCACTACATTCATATAGTTGTGGCTGCTTTCTAAAGTCAAACAACTCCAAATTCCAAACTCTGATTTCTGAAAGGTGAGGCTTGTATTAAGTCCATACAATCCCCCACCCCCGCAACGTGGGAGGCTGCACTCTGACAGGAGAGACTGAGCTCAGTTGTGAGAAAAGAGTCCTACGGGAGGGGCACGGAGGTGGGGGTGGTGAGAAGGGGCTTTTGTAATCCATGTTTCCTCCTCTCATGCTTTCGAGTATGACAGTTGCATCGGCAGAGACAGGAAGAAGGCCTTGCAGAATCTAGGAATGGTATCTATCTAGCTTTCCTCATTGAGTTTCTCTCTTGTGGACACATTAAAGATGGTGAACCAGGCAGGAGAGCTTGTCCTCAGACAGGGACCTTGGCATCACCTCTGTGTTAGCATAGTCAGTGGAGGGCCTAAACACGTGGAGATCCAGGACTTGAATAGATACAGGGTTTCTGATTATTTAAGCCTGTGGGAAGGCCAGGATTGGGATCAGGTGAGTTGGATTATGAGCTTGAATACCATTCAAACTGTGAATCAATGTTTAACTTTACCTGTAGTGGACACAGCAGTTGGGTTAGGTAAGTTATCCCAGAAGAAAAAAATGTGGGAAAACAGTTCTTATGGGAAAAGAGTATACCTGTAAAAGACTACGCTTTCAAGGAAAACAAAAAGGAATTAGAAAAGTACAGAGAGCAGAGACTTATTCGTGAAAGAGAAAAGTACAGATGTTTCTTGTATATCATGTAACACATTGCATATATAATATACTCATGAATTCTAAGTGTCACAGTCTGACATCACTCACAGTCTGGCTAGGCAACACTCTGTTGCAGTTGTGGGGCGAGTCCTTTAGACTGTGGCAGGCATGTTCTAGGACATCTGGACGGTAGATGACAGTGTTATGTCTCAATGTGGAAGGATGGATGGACTTCCCCGCTAGTGTTCAGCAGCATTCCTGATTCTGGCCAGCAGGTGTCAGCACCACACTGCACCGCCCCAAGTTGTGACACAACTGTGGCTCTAGCAGTGTTTCTGAGGGAGGAGGACAAAATAGCTCCAGGTTCAGAGACACTGTGTGCCCATGGGCGGGTATGCAAATGAAATGCAAAAAGACGAAAAGGACTGGTGAGGTGCAAAGAGGAATATGCGGATGGTTGGCTGGAACCAGGCTGACCGCTCTGAGCCGTCTTCTGTGTGCCGGATGGCTGCTGCACAGCCTTTGCTATAGAGTTGTGCCGCACTGATGTTCTTATTCGTCTAACACGTTTGTTTTGAAGCATGGCAGGTGATAGGGTTACAGCAGTGAGTTTAACAGTAAGAGCCAAGAGCAAAGCTGCTTACTTAGTTGGAGTTGGGTCAGGTTGTGTCAACAGATTATAAAATGACAGAAGTGGGCGACGGGATTTGAAGTTGCAGGATGACCCAGGAGGGCACTGGGATGCTCCTACGGAGGAAGTGAGGATCTGGGACAAATGTGAGAAACAAGGTGAAGAGGAATCATCGGATCCTTCTGCCCACAAGCTCCTGAAATCCACGTTCTGTTCTCACCTTCCAAATGACAATCTTTTTGCTCACGTTGGCCTCCTGGGTCAGAGCCTCCTCCGCCTCCTTTCTCACAAGTTCCAAAGCTTCCATGAGCTTCGTCTGTTTGGGAAGAGAAGCCAAGACTGTTACAGATGCCCTCACGTAGGGATTCACCTTGCTTAGCTGGAAAGGAAACGCAAAGGTCAACCAACAGTTCCTGACTGTTCTCATCACTGACTAAGTTGAACATAACCCTAACTTTTGGTCAATTTTGATTGAATTTTGATGCCAGATACAAAGATGCATCTAAATTGTGCCCGTTGCATCATTTTTTTTACAAAAGAAAAGCTATAGAATCAAAAGGTTAAAAATGTGAAGTAACAGATACATTAGCAGAAGCACAAGTAAGATTAGGGTATTAGGACAAGAAATGCAATTATAGTAAGCAAACACACTTAATAAGCACAATGCCAATTTTGAAAAGAGTGTATCAAATATGTAAGAACTCAGTAGTAGCAGATAAAATGTCATTAGGCAAAGTGTCACCTGTTATGGGTAGGCCGACATGATGGAACTTCTTATTTATTACTTATGATAAGAAAAGGGTTTATTTCCTTAAATGATTTCTTTTTATATTGATATGTACATATGGAGGTCAGAGGACAACGTTCATGAGTCAGTTTTCTGGTTTTCTCTTTCTACCACATGAGTCCTGGGGATCAAATGTAGATCATCAGACTTGTCAGTAAGTCCCTTTACTCACTGAGTCATCTCACTGGTCTCCCCAAAGGATTTATTTCTAGAGTATGTATTAGTAGTGGTATCTGCCCAGAAGAAACTCTGTGGACAACATATTTTAGATGAAAAAATTCAGTTTGTTACAAATATTACAACAAGTAGAAATGATACAATAGAAATTAAATCTCCTTTAGTGACAGGGTTCTGCCAGAGGCACATGTGTACACTTCATTTACAGAGAACACACATGTAAATATGCTTCGGGGAGGAAAATATAAAAATCTTATCATAAAAGCTACTCAATAAATCCTACATATACATGGTTTACACTTAAAAGGAGACTTCTGTAGTGCTGTATCAAGTACTGCACATGAAATAGCCCTGGACCTCTGGTGGCATCTGACAGGACTTTAATACCATGGATGGATCAAAGCTCCTTCAGGCCAAAGAAAACACTCCCCCTCCCACCCCACCGTAAGCCACTCCAAGGAGATGACAAACAGCGTTGCAGGCCTGGGGACAACAGTGACAGGGTGGATTCTGCTAGTCAGGATAAGAGCACACAGAGCTCCCACGGGGCCTTAGAGAGTTTCGCCCTATTGGCTCAAAGTCTAGATGATGTTTATTTGGTTTTCTAATGGAAAACCAAATACTGAATACATAGAGAATGGGTCCTCACAGAGGCTGTGCTCTGCTGTTTGAACTTCCAAAGTCTGAGAGCTAGATAAGCCTCTTTTCTCTCTTAGTTTCCCAACCTCAGGTGCTTTGTTTTGGCACTGGAAAAGGGAAATAACACAATTTGCCTGGACATTCTCTTGTGTTTTCTGTGTAAAGAATGAAATTATTTGTAAGGGATGGCAGGCCTGCTTCTTCTGTTCTAATCTGCAAGTTTTCAGTATCAAATGGAGTCCATTGTACCCAGCCCCAACAACAACAAAAGTATGAAGCCACAGGAGGCCACGGAGGATGAAGCTCATGTACATACCATGACAAGAGCCATAGGAGGCCATGGAAGATGGATTTCATGTACAGATGATGACAAGAGGCACAGGTGGTCACAGAGAATGGTCTCATGCATGTGTATCTGATATAAACCATTCCAAGCCTGGCAGAACCACAGCGCTCTGCCTCACACTGAACGTACTTCATAAGGATGGCTGCTAGCAGCTGCGTTTCCAACCTCTAACCTCACCACCTTGTCACTGATCCTCACAGCCAATAAAGCGGTCAGGTATAATTGCTTCTAAACAAGTTACACAACTTTCCCCGGCCTCAATTGCCCTGAACACGCCCAGGCTCCCACTGAATAGTATAGTTCCTCATAAACTCATTTTTTGTCTATAGAATTGGTTTGCTGTTTCAGGCTGACAACACATGCCCATGCCATGTCTATGCATGCAAATATGCACACAAACACACATACAAGATCACCTGTCATTGATGGGTAGGATGCATTCTGGGAAATGCACCACTGGGCAGTTCTGGCACAGGGTACATCTGAGTGCCCTTCTGTGATCCAGGACTGTATAACTCAGCTGCCCAATGTAGGCTCTTAACTGTAAAGAGCTGTACAGACTGCTGCCAGGACATGTGGAACAAGGCACAGCACTGTACCACAGAGTCTTTTCATTCAATAGAAGCTCTCAGAAATAATGATGAAGAGTACAGTATGACAATCACACTGTCCAGTCGTGTGGTCATGTGTCTTCACAACGTGAGTATTTATGGAACTGGCCACACAGTGGGTTTGTTTACTCTGGTATCCCCATGGACACATGAGATACGCCATGCTGTGGTGTGATGACAGCCTCAACGTCAGCACCCCTTCACCTGTAGGAAACCAGGATGCCAGGCCCTAGGGTGAGGTGAGCCTAAAACTTATAGGTCCAGGCTGCATTCTCTGCTAAAGGGAGGGACACTGAAAAGAGTGGCTCTGATAATCCCTGGCCTGCAGAACACTGCTAGACTGGTAGGAGGAAGTGGCCGGGTCATAAAAGTGCAGGCTCCCTGCTCTGTGGGAAAGCGTTAACAACCCTTAGCTCATCTCCCTGTCCTGAACAAATAACTCATCTATCCCTGGCTAAGAGATTAGGCCAGGTTAAAGGTTTACTCCTGAGCTAAAAGCTAAAAGTTCACCATGCTTTTAGCTTTAAGAAAGAAAACATTGTGGCCAATAAAGTGCTGGATGGGCATTGATAACCTTGAGTAAAAGTTTAAGAATCCTTCTGGTGCCAACTAATAGACTAAATGTCCTGTTTCTTTGTACCCTAAATCTTTGTATGTGACTGCCATATCCCACGTGACTGCTAGTTCCTTGGGATGTATAAAAACCATCTGAATTCTAAAATAAATCATCCTGTTGGGAAGACACAGGTCCCAGACTTTGACTCTGTCGCGGATCAGACCCTCTGCCCCGAAGCCAGCTGGTCCCCCACTAAGCAAAGCAAACCTGAGTCCGGACAGCTACCCAAACTTCACATGGGGCTACTGGAGCACCCTTCTATGGCACTGAATTCCCGTATTTCAGTCTGAAAACCTACTTGTGTGTGTGTGTGTGTGTGCGTTTGTGTGTGTGTGTGTGTGTGTGTGTGTGTGTGTGTGTGTCTGTGTGTGCATGTGTGTGGAGGCCAGAGGTTGACATGAAGAGTTCTCCTCTATCACTTTATATTATTTAATTTTTTTTTGTGCCAGTAGCCCCAGTTGGCCCAGAACTCACTATGTAGACTAGGCTGGCCTCCATCTCACAGAAATCCACTTGTCTCTGCCTTGTGAGTGCTCTCCATTTTTTTTTTTTTAATTTTAAATTTTTGGTCTTTTTGAGACAGGGTCTCCCAGTGGCCACAGCTGGCCTGGTTTTGCTATGGAGACCAAGCTGGCCTCCATCTCACAGAGATCTGCCTGCCTCTGCCACTTTATTTTTGGCAGGGTTTCTCACTGAACTTGGAACTCAACCATTTGTCTAGGCTGGCCAGTGAGCTCCAAGGACACACTGTTTTTGATCTCTCAGTCCTAGGATTGCATACACACAGCACCTGGATTTTTACGTGAGGGTTAGGGATATGAATTCAGGTCCTCATGCTTCCATAGTAAGCACTTTACCAACTGAGTATCTCCCAGTCCAGAAACCCTATTTTAGCTGGAGCCTTTCTTCACATACGTTTCTTGTGAGTCCCATGACATATACGCTCATTTCCAGGACTCTGTGCTGTGCTTTTGAGTGAAAGCTACACACTCTTATCTCTCTCTTTCTGTTTTTTTCTGCTGTGTCCTCAGAGACTTTGAAGATCCTGACTGGCCTACTCTCCTGTTAGTGAGTACCCGACACACCTCATACACTGTGCCACCACACACACGTCCCTCTCCTGATACCACTGTTTCCAATTGGTGATTTCATTTCATCTCATTTTAGCCTCACAAAACATTTCTCTTCTATAATCTCACTTTGCTAGCTACGGTCACACACTTAGATTTTCTTTGCTCATTATTCCTTCTACAACCTGGATCTTCCCATGGCCTGTGCTAAATACTCTCACATTAACCTGAATTAACCTGAGCGAGGCTCCATGGTGACAAACCCATTTTTCTGAAAGCATCTTTAACTTGTGTTCTTTGTTTAACTCTCATTATTGAAAGATATTTTCACCAGGTATCTGCTGGGGTTTGGTAATGGCTTGCCCCTAAGGGCTCATATGATGGATGTCTGGTCCCCAGTGAGGCAGTAGGACGTAGTGGCAGGTCCTCAGGCACCACTCTCTGATGGGATCAGTGCAATTCCCATGATGGGAGTTGTTATAAAGAATAATCATGGCCCTGGATTCCTTTACCTCCTGCCTCACCATGATCTCCCCATGGGCTCCACCATTGTGAGGCCATTGCCCTGAGCCCTCACCAGAGGCCAAACAGATGGGGCTGTAAAACTGACAGCTGAATAAACTTCTATTCTTTACAAGCTACCCAGCTTCTGGAATTGTGTTATAGCAACAGGAAACAGCACTTTCCATTCCTGGGATGACCGTTTTCCCTCAGTAATATGAATAAACTTTTGTCTTCTCCCATTTGAGCTTCTGAGAAGCAGCACAATTTGAACTGTCTTCCTAGATGCCTTGTTCCTCTTCTGCTGCTTTTAAGATTCCCACTATTGGAGCTGGAAGAGATGGCTCCGTGATTAAGAGCACTGGCTGCTCTGGTAGAGGACTTGGGTTTGATTCCCAGCACCTACATGGTTGCTAAGAACCATCTGTAACTCCAGTTCCAGGGGATCTGATGCCCTCTTCTGACTTCCATGGGCATTGTACAACACAAATGCATTTATATCCATGCAGGCAATATACTCAATACGCATAAAAATAATAATTTTTTTTTAAAAAAAGATTCCTACTGCCCTTGATGCTCTGCATTTCTCTATAAGGAGCCCAGATGCAGACCTCTTCTGCCTCAGGAGACTT